CCAATCTCAGTTTCTACTTCAACTTACATAGCACATAGATAATAATATCTGCATGTACACACACACAACAAAACCAATATGATTTGTCATAAGTATCATACTGTTATGATATAAAGCAAAATTTATTGTCATATTTACCTTACCATCTTATTACAATAGGTTATCAAAATCGGGTTTATTGCGACATAAATAGGTGTTCTATTACTAGCATTAACTTTGAGACGTGCCATCGGGGCAAATCATAGATAAAATCTCAAAAAAATTACCTTTTGTGAATACTGCCCCTGGTGCATGACATGATCATATTATCAATATTACTAACAGATGATTTTACAAAGCTTTGCGATGTTACACAGCGTACCAGTGCATATAATACGAGAATGTTATATGCACTGGTAGTGTAAGCAAAAGTATTAATAGTCAGGTGACTAAAAAAACTAAAATTATATATATATATATATATATATATATATATATATATATATCATAGTGTCCTTCCTAATGGTTATCAGACATCAAAACCCCCTAGCATACCTCCAACAATATGCTTAACCTAGGCCGAAAAAAAATATATATCGTGTGTGTGTGTTTGCATTTGTGTGTGCCTGTGGAATCTTCATATAGAAGATGAATTTGAGTGCATTTAGTGTTTATAATAATAATATCTCATTTTCCCATGCTGAGAAAACAAAAATATGACTCAAAAAAATCTAAATCTTAGTATCTTATCTTGTGTGAGACATATGTGTGTATATCTGTATATACATATATATATAATGTGTGTATATATTACTCAGTTTCTTCTGTCTTTACTTGTAAAAGGATCTATAATAATACATACTTTGCATACTTTGAGTGGACTAGAAAAGTTTATTAAACCAATATATAAAAAACTGTAGATGGTGAAATAAACACAAAAAATATATATAGGCCTACATCTAGTTGATTGCATTAATCAAGGTCTGGTTAACTCATGAATGAGAACTTCCATCATCTTGGTAATTCCTAGATATTATTGAGTAATTTACTGGATACTACGAAGTGAGGCACTTAATAATTCCTTAATACTTAATAAGTCTCATTCCTATTACTTAGTGAAACAAGTCCTGTTGGCTCCCAGATGACAGTGTACCACTATAGTCTATTGGGTCCTGGATGACTGTAAAATCCTTTTGATCTCTGAATGACGGTGAGCCACCAAAGTCTTGGCTATTCCTACAATACTGTGAAAAATAGCTCTATTTCTGAATGACTGTGAGGCAACAAAGGTCTGTTAGTGTTTAGAATACTGTGGAGTACGAACGTCTGCCTGATTTCTATTGGACTGCTTTGCTTAAAAATATTGTTGGTTCTAAGTGGACTGTGAAATGCCAGATTCTTGCTTCAAGGATTGAGAAGCATCAGAGTTTTGTTGCCTTTTACATGGGTGCAAGTCTATTCCTGTTGGTTCCTGGATGACTGGGAGACACCGAAGTCCTGTTGGTTCCTGGATGACTGAGAAACATCAAAGTCCTGTTGGTTCCTGGATGACTGAGAAACATCAAAGTCCTGTTGGTTCCTGGATGACTGGGAGACACTGAAGTCCTGTTGGTTCCTGGATGATTGAGAGACACCAAAGACCTGTTGGTTCCTGGATGACTGGGAGGCACCGAAGTTCTGTTGGTTCCTTGATGACTGGGAGACACCGAAGTCCTGTTGGTTCGTGTTTGGCTGAGAGACACTGAAGTCCTGTTGGTTCCTAGATGACTGAGAGACACTGAAGTCCTGTTGATTCCTGGATGACTGAGAGACACCAAAGTCTTCTTGGTTCCTGGATGACTGAGAGACACTGATGTCCTGTTGGTTCCTGGATGACTGAGAGACACCGAAGTCCTGTTGGTTCCTGGATGACTGAGAGACACCGAAGTCCTGTTGGTTCCTGGATGATTGAGTGACACCGAAGTCCTGTTGGTTCCTGGATGACTGAGAGACACTGAAGTCCTGTTGGTTCCTGGATGACTGAGAGACACCGAACTCCTGTTGGTTCCTGGATGACTGAGAGACACCGAAGTCCTGTTGGTTCCTGGATGACTGGGAGGCACCGAAGTCCTGTTGGTTCCTGGATGACTGAGAGACACCGAACTCCTGTTGGTTCCTGGATGATTGAGAGACACTGAAGTCCTGTTGGTTCCTGGATGACTGGGAGGCACCGAAGTCCTGTTGGTTCCTGGATGACTGGGAGGCACCGAAGTCCTGTTGGTTCCTGGATGACTGAGAGACACCGAACTCCTGTTGGTTCCTGGATGACTGGGAGGCACCGAAGTCCTGTTGGTTCCTGGATGACTGAGAGACACCGAAGTCCTGTTGGTTCCTGGATGACTGGGAGGCACCGAAGTCCTGTTGGTTCCTGGATGACTGAGAGACACTGAAGTCCTGTTGGTTCCTGGATGTCTGGGAGACACTGAAGTCCTGTTGGTTCCTGGATGATTGAGAGACACCGAAGTCCTGTTGGTTCCTGGAT